AAGCGAAGCAAAGGCGGAGGTAATCAGACATACAATTTTGTAATATGAAAGAGGTCCTAACCTGACTACATGATTAGCAGACTTACTGTAACTAATGACATTACACATTCAACCATTGATGTGATTTGTTTAGGATATTTGGCTCCTACTTCACTGCATCAACTGCACTGAAATGTATTGCCTTTAGTGGTAGATTATAGTTTGGGTGGTATATGTATATAGTTTTTGTTATCTTAATCTGTATTTTTCCCAAATAGTGACAAAAAAATATATTCTTTAAACATGAAGTAACAGATTGATCAAAAGAATGAGCTTGAGCTTTATGACAGAAAACAATATTTTGTTATGAATTGTAGCACAAATCAGTGCTGACTGTATTCTTTGTCTGTATTATGCGTATGGTAATTTTTTAAAATCCTTTATCTTTCATAGAAGAATACATACTCGTGTAAAATTACACAATAACTGCGTGTGTCTATACATACCTTTGAGCCTAAAAAATAAAAGTACAGTTTGTTTGGAAAGTACAAGTTTGCATGTGCACACACAAGTAGCAACACTGCACTGAGTGAGGAACGCACGGGGTCCAAGGGGGGTCATCAGCGAGTGTTTGGAGCTTGAGTTACAGAGCCAGCATCTGCCATCCGGCCATCAGGCCCTCATATCCATCACTGGCCGATGGCGTGGTGCAGCCCGGCGTTTGTAAAAACACCCAGAGGAAATGGAGTCTCTGGGCCAGACAAGAATAAAATTAGCTTGATGACTAAGTTCCTCCTCAGGTCCCAGCGGGAATAGAACTCTGCCATTTGTTTTCATTACTTCCCTTGGCTGTAGATGGTAGGACGACGTGTGTGTGACTGTGTTTGTGTGCATGTATGTTTAGAGAGGGTGCATGTGTATGTCTGTGTCTGCTTCTATCCCTGTGAAAAAAAAATATGCACAAAAACAGGCATTTTGTCATTTCCAGTACTATATGGGTTTAATCAAACATATTCACTCGTAAACACACCACTTCGATTCCAAAGCTCCTTCTATGTATATTATTTGTGCTTGGTCTGTAGAGGTGACATTACTATTTGGAATTGTTCCACCACCCTTCATGGCATACAATATTGGCTTTGGCCACTTTATTGCATTAGCCTCAGAATATCTAATAAACACGCAAAGGTTATAAAAATTGATTTGCTCACAAATGTGTTTTCATTCATTCCCAGTGCTATGACCTAAGCCAACTTTTGCTGAACTAAATGTGTAACCAGCCTATTTTTGGTGGTTGATATTATTTGCTTTGTCACTTCTGGCCAAACAAGAAATTGTGAACTTGATATATCTCTATACACACCATTACATTCCTGATCATATGCACATAATCAATTAGGTTTTAAAAGATTACTCTGCATGCATAAAAACAAATAATGAGACACTCATGAAAGGAATAAATATGAGGGAAGCAGAGTAAAGAACAAAGAAAAGTAATGTAAAGAAAATAGCATTCAGGTCATACAGACTCAGTATGTTAACACAGTAAATTATAATAAAACAGATAAATACCAAGTAAACACATAATTGTAAAAATATAGGGCTGATCATGCATAACGTATGCATTTACATTTGAGACTGAAGCAATATTTATTGTGCTATTTCAGTGCCCCTGCATGCTCTCAGTGCAGAATAATTGGCCTTGTTTGTACTAAAGCAGCATAAAATAGAATCGCAGAGAAAGCACGGACGTGGAAGCCCCTTTCTTTTGTAAACAGAGTGAGAAACCTCAACACTACAGAAATAGTGTCAGCCATATTTGCTATTGTTAAGCTTTGAAAGAACCTCTGAACTTCACTTACTTACAAATGCATTTCTCTGCTTTGAATACTCTACGTCTTGTTACCTTCTCTCTTTTACACACACACACACACACACACACACCTACACACACACCTCTCAGATTAGTTCCAGCTTTTACCCAAGGTGCCTGTTAGAGCTGAAGTGAAGACATCTTGTGCTTCTTTAAAGCATGTAGCATTAACACCTTTGCCCCCTGTGTAAACCCTGAGTACTGACCCACAGCGGAGAGTGAGAAGCACACAGCTTTGAGATCCAGCAGTGTGTAACCCCTAGACCTGTGTTCAACTGTTACAAAGCAGCACTTTTCAGTCAAAGCTCCATAGGAAGGAAGGAATCAGGAAAGGGAATATTGGAGGTGATGTAGAAAATGAAAGTATGTGCATGTGTGCATGCATGTGTGTGTGTTCTTTGGGAGACAGGCTGACTAAACAGACCAGAGGGCTGGTGAGCCAGAGGCCTTGAACCAGAGGTGTGAACAGAGAGATCCGCTCACACATTTGGCACATAACTACAAATTTTTCTTTTATAGTTTTAACATAGCCTCTCTCCATCTTCTTCACATGCAGGCAGGTAATTAAAGGGTCAGCTCACCAAAAAAAAATTAAAAATAAAATGTTTAAGACATTTCGTCTCTGCCACCAACCCATTGCAATTGAGATGAAGGGAATTCTGTCTGTGCTGCTCACAGTAAAAATTAAACCGCAACTTGTCTGTCCAGAAACAATGTCCTTGTATCTCTGGATAATCCAAACTTTTCACGAAACAGTTTTATTGAAACTATTTTCTACTGAATAGTCTGTATTGTCATGGTCCTGTGAAAGTCTCCAAAATGTCAACTTTTCATGTTCTAAAAAAATTAACCCTGTTTCCAGCTTTGTGACAGGTTAATTAAGGAAGTAGAAAATAGTTTTAACCACTGAAAAAAAAAGAACAATAAAAGTAATAATACATCTAAAACATTATAAATCCCTATTAAAAAACAGTTGCGATTATTGATCACTGCAGTAGGCACCATAAATAAAATTTACTGTATTACAGTAAAAGCAAAAATGGAAGATATCCTCAATACCTGAGCAAAGGGTCAAATTTTGTAATTTGGGTGAAATACCCCTTTAATATGTGATGTATTTCCATTTTTAGAGTCATATCTTTTAAAAAATATATCAAACTGTGGCTTTCCCAAACAAAGATTGTGTCTCCTGACAAATATTAACACAGAATTGGACATGTAAGCTGACCATAGCATAATGCATTTAAATATGCATTTATAGGAAGACAGAGAGAACACAGATCACGGAAGAATTACATGACTTCCCAGAACCATTGTTGGCTGAAAGGGGGAAGTGATTTTCTCTAATGTATCTCTGTGTTGTGTCCTTGTCCTCCCACGACTGGTCTGCACACCAACAGTTAGGGGTCCTGCAAACGTGGGTCAAGGCGAGTGTGTGCGTGTGTGTGTGTGTGTGTGCCAGACAACAAGAGAAAGAGAGAGCGAGAGGGGGGAACAGAGAGTTTGCCAGTGACAAGGAAGTCAAATAAAGGGAAGAAAAGCTCCATTTCCCCAGCTAAATGTACCCCTGGGAGGCGTAAGGGAGGGAGAGAGCGCAAGAGAGAGAGAGAAAGGTTATGAACCGACAATACTCCTGCAAGGCTCCAGATTTACAACTACCAAGCCCTAAGAGCTCTGCCATGCTTATTTCTACAGCCAGTTAAAACAAATTGCAGCCATGTTTCAATCACCCACATCCTCTTCTTGCTCATCCGCTCAGGCCGAGCTTTTGGCTGCTGTATTATTTCAATTACTCCTGAATAAATACTTTCCTCTAGTGAGGCAGTCTTCATCCACTGGAAAGTCCCCACATGCTCCCACACTCTCCCGGACCCCAAGTAGTCTCTTTGCTCCCTTCTTTTCTTCTTATGTCAGCTCAATATGGCCCCTGGAGTGACGTAAAAAGGAAACGGAGTCTGTTTTGAGAAACTGTCGGCATGTTTGATTGTGTTTACTTGCATTTTGTCATCAGTGTGCAACTTTTATTCTTGGAAGCTAACATGTTGGCTTGATCTTCACTGGCAAATTTTTCTCCTACCTTCTTTTGCTGTTTGAAAAACAGCCACTGGAAAACATGCAGTTACTTTCTCATACTGAGTGAAATGTCTGACCTATGGAGGCATGGATGAGAGCACAAGAAATGAATAAATGCTCCCTTTTTTGTATGTTTGATTGCGAGTTGTGGTTGAAACCTTTCGTAACCTGATACACTGTTTGATTTGGGTTCAAATGAGAGAGAGAGAGAGAGAG